GCCTCATTCCTGCTCGGATCATTCCAATGGCTTCATGACGCTGTGCAGCTGTCAATCTTGGCATGATTTGCTTGTGATATGCTTGTGTCTGCGCCTGAGAAGTTTTGAATTTTTGAATGACCACAGATCATGCTTTCCAAAGTGACAGCGAATTTTGAGTTGCACATGCTGTGTACAGCTGAACAGGATGCACGTGCAGTAACACATTGCACGTCCATAGGCCCCCCATCAATGACGTCATATCGAATGTCTCAAATAATTGCTGTGTTCAAACCTATCTTTCAGATATGGACGGTGTGCCCTTATATCTATATTTTCTCCGTGCACAGTTTCTTTATGTGGCTAGTATAGATAAACCCTTATCGTTAATACTCACTCTATCCTGTGTACAGAAAGAAAATGAGAGTTGTGGATGAGTCTAGCTAAAAAACACTAAGAAGAAAATAGAGAGAGCTAAAATCTAAAAACTGACTTACCAAGCCAAGGCTATGAGGCTATGAGCACAATAATCCCCCTAACGCGCATGTAAAAACACTGCGCAAATCGGGTAAGATTGGCTCCGGACAGGTGGAGTTCATTATTTACGTAAGGCTGTAACCAGGGGGACAAATCTAGGAACACATTTGAAGTTTTCAAGTGCCACATCTCTTGGGTAATGACAAGCGAAGACAGTGTCGGACCTCCAAAAAACATCCTTCCATGATTGCTCTAAAAGCACAAATGCTATGTATATACATGGTTGAGGCTATCGCCATGATCTCATGAGGATCGTTTGCTCTCGGATCAAGGTTAGCGATCTTGTATGCTGCAAGGATGACTGCTCATAACCATAGAGATACAGTGCTGTAACTGGCTTGGGTCTTGGACGTCTGGGATACTGGAATAAACAGTTGTTTCCGTGTACCACGACAAGTCTGTCTTGGAGCGGCTGAAAATACTCATAGTGCATGCACAGGGAACAATATAGAGATTGGTGGAATGGCGAAGGACCCGTTGGTTGTCCTGGTAGCTGATTCTTAGCTATAAAATCCCAGCACAGCCTGAGGTGAACCGCTCCCTGTTCAAGAACGGATAGGGGTAATATCCAGTGCATGTAACTCCCTAACTCTTGCCACTGTGGCTAAAGTCAAGAGAAAAATTGTCTTCTTTGTGAGGTTGAAAAAGGATATTGCATGGATGGGCTTGTACAGAGGCCCACGCACACCCCGAAGTACCACATACAAATCCGCTGCAGGGAGACGAAATCTGGTCTTCTGATCTTCAAGCCTGAATGAGCATGGGAGGGCCTGTATTTCCCGAACTTTGATCATCTTATGATCCTCCAGAATGGCAAAACACTGAATTAAGAGCCACCAAGTATGTAGTTATTGTGCTACCATTCAAGTGTCGTTTGGTATGCAAGTGAAGGAGGTAACCGGCCAAGAATTGTGGTGACGCTGTAGATGGATCTTGATTTTCCACTTCACAGGAGGTTTCAAATAATCGCCACCAGGTCCGACCATATCATAGTGAGGCTCTTGGTTGCTTTTATTCTGTGTATCACTCTAGGAAGTAGTACAGCTTTTAGCCCTTCCCAGGAGATGCAGAATGTGTAACATCATTCGCTGGTGGTTCTGGTGCGTGACAAAGAGGTCGATATTGGTTTGACCGAACCGCTGATGCACCAGTTGAAACGCCTTTGTTTCCACTCCGTAAGAGCCACCCTGTCTGGTCTGGATAATGCATCTGCCAGAATGTTCCAACATTCGGGGATGTGCTGGACTAGAAATTGTAGATCCAGTCGATCCACCAGATGAAAGAACAGAAACGGCTGTTGAAGCAAGGAGTGAGAGTGTGTTGTCCCTTGGTTGCGCAGGCACCAAACACAGTGTCCGTGGAGATGGGGAGTTGAGTGTTATGGAAATGCTCCTGCCAATGTGAAATTGCCAGAATGTGCACCTTCAAGGTTGTTGATGTGCCACATGTGCTGTGCGGCAGACCACAGCCCTGAAGCTGTCTGGTCCTGAAGATGTGCACCCCATAACTGTAGAGAGGAGTCTACGAACAGGTGTATCATTGGGAGTTAGTTTTATAAAAGGAGACGCCTCCTTAGACGTTCGACTCCAACAACTGAGATGTGTTTTGAGGTGAGATGACAGACTGATGGCAACGTACAGGTCCTGACATCTGATGTAAGATGCCAGGAACTGCTGTACTGGGCGTATGTGCAGACGCCCTCTGATTGTCAAATGCTGGGCTTATCCTGAGCAATCCCAGCAACACTTGCCTCTGACAATGTGTAAGCGGCTGTTAAAGAGTGGGTAGCAGATTAAGATTGGGTTGTTGACAAGGCTGTAAAGTTGAAAAATCAACTGCAGGAGAGCTTTTGATCGTGTCATGTCTTGAAGAGACAGGAAAAATTGTGTTCATATGTGAACCAATGCCAGATCCAATGTAGACTAAATAAATGCACTCCCCAACCAATCGCCTGTGTACAATATCGTACAAGCGCTCTCAATCTTATACCGAGATAACAATGAAGGGAGGTGCCTCGTTAAATCTTGTGTTGTCATCGGAGGTCCTTGTAACAGTCGTGGAAAGAATTATACAGTCGGCGCTCTATCTAGTAGATAAAACCGAATAAAAATAATTCTCAGGTTAGAAAAGATCTTATGAAGTAAGAACGTTTGCATCCTCTTGGCATCGTATAAGTGCTCCCGTTCTTATACTGAGGTGACCATTAAAGGAGGTGTCTTAATACCGCTCATGTTGGCATGGGAGGTCTACTGAAGTTAGTGACTCAGACACATTGATGTACAGCGACATGTGTCTGATCGCATGGTTGCAGCATTATGTACAAGTAGAAATGCAAACCAATCTTGAACAATTACCCTGCACGGCGAGCATTAGGTCAGTTGACTAATTCCGGTAAAGTCGGGATGTTTACAGTCAGAGAGTAATATTTAAATCATCCTGCGCAGTAACCTCAAATCCCGCATTTTGCTGGAGACAAGGTTCGTGCTCAACAAAAGACAATCCACTGTGAACTGTGTGGTAGATAGACAAGTGGTGTTCCCAGTTCTGTGTAGGATATGTGCCTTGGCCGGTGTTGGCTCAAGTTGACCTCCATGAAATTGGTTACGACTTATCCTGTGTACGATGATCCCAACAGGTAGCATATGATGATTCTGTCAAATGTCTACTTGATTGTGAATGTGAGATGATCTTCCAGTTTGGTACAGATCATGTCTACCAGAAGGCACACGAAAAACAATTAACCTGAGGACTAAGGCCTCTCCGTGGAATAGATTAGCCAACGTTGAACGTACATCGATAGACGGGAGAATTGGTGAACTTTCACAGAACCCTCACCATAAGGCCAGGTGCTGCTGAAGGCTGAAGGTACGTCTGACCTCTGTTGTATGCAAATTAATCATGTGTCCGATGTCTGGTGATTCCTCATATGGTCTATTTGTCTCTGCTGAAAGTCTACCACTGTCTGTTAGTGGTCTAGGTGAATGGCTTTGGTCTCAGTCAGGTCTTGTTCCAGCGAAGGCTGACAAAGGCTGAAGTGAGCGCCTGACCTCGGTCTTGATAATGGCAAACCTAACATCTGGGATCTTAAGCATGGTCGGCTTGGATGAGCTACTCATCCCCTGGGGGTCCTCCTCCAAGATATGCAATTGGTCAGCCACTCCAAAGGCATGATTAGGAAAGTCTTCTTTAATGCTGGTGCAAGTGTTAGCTTGGAGAAATCTTCATCTATCGCCTTGACAGTATTCCTGAGCATGGGATCCAGTGGTATCGACGTAGGGTGGGACCAAATGGTGTCTTTCTTGTCAACTGTTCTTGTCAACAGACAGCGTTCAAGTCGACGTGGAAGGCGCAGATGGTATCACAGGCATCTGATGTACGGCAGGCGCTGATGTCATCATAAGCGCTTGTATTGTCTCCGGCACTGGGGTAGCTGGTGGCGCAGGTGGCTGATACACAGGCGCAGGATACATCTGTGTCATAGACTGCTGCCATATGGACTTCATGAAGTTCTACATCCATGCAGTATCCGTGTAATGGGAGGCGTTGCCAGGAAAATGGGAGGCACAGCAGCAATCTGACCTTGTGCAGACAACAGCGCAGGTGTGGAAGGCAACCTTGAAGATATAGACATCATATGTACTAACAGTAAGGCATTCCTCGTGGGCGCAGTCGGAGTAGACATTGGGTCAAGGCACCTGAAGGCATTGACAGTGTTGAAGGGTGGGCTGGCGGGGATAAGATGGGGAGTGAGGTGAACAAAAGTTACATTTTAAATTTGGAGTGGAAATTTGTGCGCAATACCAACAATGTGGGTGTGGGTCTTTAGCTGACTTTTTGCTGACAGTTAATGCAACGAGCAAGCATAAATTATGCATGAAAATTCAAGATGTTTTGTGAAAGAAGACATGCAAACACCGATGTATAAACCAAAGTTTAAATCGGAAAAACAGTGTGTTAAATAACAAGCATGAAAAACCACTAGTGGCTAAAGGTATTTATAAAATGTAGAATATAATACCTAGCCAACAATTGAAAATGTAAATGGCTGTCACGAATTGAAGACACATATAGCCAAATCAATATGGCTGGAAAACAACAAGTCACGTGAATAAAGAAGACAACGGTCTTCCCACATGGAATAAATACATATTATTACATTAGATAAGATATACCCCACCCGTCGCAGGAGAAATTTAACGTGGGAGGAAAGTACAAGCCACAAAATTGAAGCCAAATATTGAGGACCAAGGCAAAACACATGACTGTATGGTGACAATTTAAGCGGGAATGTGGTGGGACGTGACGTCTCTCCAGTCGATCATGTGACAGCTGTCTGAGTTGGTCCTCAGACAAGTAGATTTGAATGGAAACAACTATTTCTTCAGTTTTTGTACTGTGATTTGTACAGACTAACCACATACCAGCTATTGGTGGTGTACTTGGCATGACAACACATAAGACCACAAGTGTCTGTGAGTACCCACCTGCTAGGATAGTAGGCAGCCATTTTGATAAGCATGTTGAGTATGAGAGTGGCAAGGTCACTTTCGTTCATGACAGCTTGACCAGAGGCCAGCAACGTCCACTTAAGCTGCGACACTGATTGCAAAGGTCGCCATCCGTCCATTCCTTGTGCCCAGCAACGTGTCTTGGCATGGATAGTTCCTTCAGCCCAAAACTGCTTCATCTGAAGTTGAGATAAAAGCATGCACATTCATTAGCATCAACATTTGTCAAAGGGCACTGGTGAACCTCCTTAATTTTTAAGCAAGAAATCAATCCTTTCAAAAAGTTATATGTACTGAATTGTTTTGTATTAGGAAATATAGTGTCACCTTTAAACCTTCTTAATTTAGTTCCCCTTACAAAAAGAATATAATGCAGCCTTGTCAGAAAGTGTTTCTGATTAACGAAGGACCTTCAAGTTTCACATAAGTCTTTAACGTGTCTACAAAAGAAAATGATTCAGAGTTTCTGAATATTTATTTAGATCTTATACACTACAAATGACTCTCAACAGGCACGTCTGGACAAGCTTCAGCTCATTCAACCTTTGTGGATGCCTCTTTCAGGCGATCACAGATTACTACCACATTACACACACTTCTTATCATAACTGTAGATTTGCTTCAGTAGAGTTTGTCACAAAGAGCCACAAGTAAGAACTGAATCCATGACACATACACACAGGGGATGCCACAAGTAAGAACTGAATCCAGGACACATACACACAGGGGATGCAACAATTAAGAACTGAATCCATGACACATTCACACAGGGGATGCCACAAGTAAGAACTGAATCCATGACACATTCACACAGGGGATGCCACAAGTAAGAACTGAATCCATGACACATTCACACAGGGGATGCCACAAGTAAGAACTGAATCCAGGACACATTAACACAGGGGATGCCACAAGTAAGAACTGAATCCAGGACACTTACAAACAGGGGATGCCACAAGTAAGAACTGAATCCAGGACACTTACAAACAGGGGATGCCACAAGTAAGAACTGAATCCAGGACACATTCACACAGGGGATGCCACAAGTAAGAACTGAATCCAGGACATTTACAAACAGGGGATGCCACAAGTAAGAACTGAATCCAGGACACTTACACACAGGGGATGCCACAAGTAAGAACTGAATCCAGGACACATTCACACAGGGGATGCCACAAGTAAGAACTGAATCCAGGACACATACACACAGTGGATGCCACAAGTAAGGACTGAATCCAGGACACATACACACAGGGGATGCCACAAGTAAGGACTGAATCCATGACACATACACACAGGGGATGCCACAAGTAAGAACTGAATCCATGACACATACACACAGTGGATGCCACAAGTAAGAACTGAATCCATGACACATACACACACGGGATGCCACAAGTAAGGACTGAATCCAGGACACATACACACAGGGGATGCCACAAGTAAGGACTGAATCCATGACACATACACACAGTGGATGCCACAAGTAAGAACTGAATCCATGACACATACACACACGGGATGCCACAAGTATGAACTGAATCCATGACACATACACACAGGGGATGCCACAAGTAAGAACTGAATCCATGACACATACACACAGGGGATGCCACAAGTAAGAACTGAATCCATGACACATACACACAGGGGATGCCACAAGTAAGAACTGAATCCATGAGATATATATAAACATGGGATGCCACAAGCACTGAATCCATTAATTTAAAAACAGGAGAATCCACACACTATTTCATTACATAGTTTATTACTGACTATTCTTTACCTCATCTACATTTTAATTTTGAGTCATTTCAACATTATCGATAATAAAATCAAATATAAAAACAGAAGAGGAAAATAGAAATGATAACAAAGGAGGAAAATATAATAGATCTTTTACCTCCTTCTGTGGGATATGAATTATCTAGCAAGTTAAATAATACACAGATGGGGTAGCCAAGTGGTTAAACCATTTGATTGTCAAGCTGAAGGCCGAGGTTGAATATGTAAAGTCCATTTCTGGCGTCCCCAATCTTGCTGGAATATTGCTTGAGGTAACATAAAACTATATGCACTGACTTATACTACAGTAATAAGCAGTTTCGGTCAGATGATGCTACTTCTGGTTTACACAAAAACTTTCTGCATTCCAACCTAAGACTGAAAATCCACTATATATTCTATAGTCACTAACATACGCTGCTGTCCATACTAACTCAAAACCTTCATCCATAAATATGAAGGAATAATAAAATTAATAACAAGGAGAATTCTGATGCATGATTTAACTCCCCGCACAACTGGCATGCATTGGCTTTCCTGGATTTTAAGATCTTACTATAAAGTTCTCGGTCCAGGCTGCCCCAGTATACTTTGTTTGTTTCTTGTTGTTTAGTGCGGCTCTCAACAGTATTCCAGCTATATGAGGACGATCTGTAAATAATCAAGTCTGGACCAGACAATCCAGAGACTGATATCACTTTGCATCGATCTACGCAATTGGGATATGATGACATGTATCAACCAAGTCAGCGAGCCTGACCACCCGATCCCATTAGTCGCCTCTTGACAAGCCTTGTGACAAGCATAGTCACCTTTTACAGTAAGCATGGGTTGTTGAAGACCTATTCTACCCCGAACTTCACGGGTTGACCCAGTATACTGGTCGATTGAGTAGTTCAATGGCTGCAGCCGCTTGTGCCGAGAACATCTTGTGGTAAGTGTAGAACCCATTGTCGTCTGTTTCGTTACTGAGTCCAATAATGATGCCTTGATATTCGTCCAACTCGGCTGAGCGATTGGGGAATTTCTCCAACATTATCTTTTTGAATCTTTAAAATGCTTTGAGGAAATCTCTGATGGCCAACACTTTCTGTAGTCGTCGGTCATTTTTGGTTTTTAGATGTAATTGTTTTTAGATGCTATTTCAATGCTATGTGGGCCACAATGAACATCATCCAGAATAATAAACAGAGCCAAGTTAATATCCCTATCCTCATGAATCTGATGCCTGAGATTTGCAGAAACAGGGTCTCCAGTCTTGGCAGTGTGTAGGGGTCCAGTGGTTGCGTAGCAGTGGCAGCATGGTTGGCAAAGGCAATTCACAGGGTGAATTTCCCGTGTACTCTAATTTCTCCTCTGGCTGTTCAGATGGTGACATTACATTCCCTGGCACATTCTTGGAGTAAAACTGAATGAGTTGTCCTCTTGACATGGACCTTGGAAGGTGTAAAATTCTGATGTCCTGGGCGATGTCCTGTCAGAGCTCTGCAACTTACCAGTTGGCAGGATAATGAGAAAGTTTGTTTGCTGCCGAGTTCGGATTTATTTCTGGTATCTCCTGTGAACATCCGAAGAATTAGACCGAAGTCATGTTGGTACAGCGGGTCAGCCATCTTGGTTGTTTACATCAAATGCAGCTTTGTTTGTTGAATCGTGTTTTCAACGAGGAGCCATAATATTTGTTCCGAGGACGGTCACCTCCTAGTTACTAGGTAGCTATGTCGTTGCAAATCCGGAATGTATGTGACAAAAACTTCAGTTAAGACCCGACCATTACGAAGCATACTTGAATAAAACCATGCGTTGTGATCTAGACAAATGAATTGCTAACGACTGACTACGCATGCACTATGGCATAATTAAGTTTGGGCATGTGAGAGAAATGGAATACGATTGTGACTTACTCAAGTTTTCTAAGCTGAATTAACTACAAATAAACTCCAATTGGAGTATAACCTGATAACTATAACAGTATACATATGCATTGCACAGGTTAGCCTGTTAAAATTAATATCTAAAATGGACAAAAGTTTTAATAGAAAATTATCATATGGTATGGTGCATGTAATGAATAACATTCGATGGTATGACATAAAAACTAAAAACAAACAGTTGTGTACAATCATCCTGGAAAGGGCCTCCCTACATAATAAATACACACATACAATGATTTTGATATTATTTCACAACAAAGATGTTATCGTGAGCACACGTACAACACCAGAAGAAGCATGTCAATAAATCCATAAGTACACAAGTCAGTCCTGTTATTACACTATCTGGCTATAAAAGTGGTCATTGTGTATCTGGAGATTTCAATCAATATTGTTCACGTTAATTTTGGCAAATTGTGTACCAACTGATCGGCAAATCACATCAACTCACCATGAACTCACCTTGAAACGAACATTAGTCGTTAGAGATACAAAGTCTTCTTTTCAGTAACCAATTGGCAATGACATTAAGTATTTTTTAAACTAAATAACCATTAGATAGGGGAGTAAATGTGTGAACAGCTGACGGCTATATCCGGCCATTTACGAGACAAATACACATGTAATCTTAATCACTGCGTATGAAACATTGTCCGGCATACAGTACATAAATATAATTGAATTTGTAAATAATCATGTCTAGTGATGTTTTATGGAAAATTTCATGTTTTCATTGACCAAATCTCCAAACAGCAAAACAAGCACACAAACTCCCATTGCCGCCATGGCCATAACACATGAGATGCGCAGTAAAGGAGTGCGCATGAAAAGGGAGGTAACTGCAAGCTGTAATGAATCGCATTGTTTTTATGTATTGTAACATTTCACTGCTGGGGACGTGTGTTTGAGACTTTGAATATTTAAGGATTTTTAATATTTTTTAAAAAATGAAATAAAAATGAAATGTGGGGCAGACTTTATGATGATGCGGGCATTGCCTTAGGGCCAAGACCCTTACCCTTTGTTTTGCAAGCGTTGCAGAAAACTTTTACTTTTTGGGGCCATATAATGTTGACAACAATTAATCATCCACATCAAGTATCAAAATATTTCAGTCAACTGTTCGTGACAAAATATCAGAAGCTAGAAAAGTGTTTTATTACATAACATTTGAAAATGGCAGAATTTCCACCAATGTCCCTTCCTGAATAAACCAAAATTCATGACACATATCATGTCTAAAGCTTATATAATGAGAAGTTTATGTGTATTTGAATTTCCATACCAAATAAACATGACTACTAGGACATCAAACCAGTGTTCCAATACTTCTTGCTTACTCAATGTCATATGCATCAATCCTCTCAAACTGATGACATGACTGCCTGGTTTGGAATACATCTGCAACTGTGTGCCTTGCAAACTTAACTAGTTTGACAATATAGGCACTGCATGAAAAGGACCCAAATAAACATCACTTACTTATGTGAAATTCTAAAGATGAAACAACTACCAATCAGCTTGTGCCAAAACCTTTGGAGTCTACTACCCAGAACAAGGCTCTTAACATAATTTTCAGAAGATTTAAGTGTTATCATATGGACTACTTGTAACCTTACTAGACCACACGGAGTTCTACTAGATTCGGGCTTTGGACTAGTGGCTAAAGTTGCAGACGACCAAGAGTGAGAGAGTCATTTGGTCTTAAACTTCTAAATGCTATTCAACCCATTCATTGGGATTGTTCTTAGTGCAATATGTAAAGGTGGACCCATTTGATGAGTGACACTAATAGGATAAAAACATGACCAAATAATTAAATTTTTCGACTGTTCATTGTAATTTCTGCATTCTGATTAGCTGAATTGATTATATGTTATTGCATTCATTTCCCAATGAATGTAAAACAATAAGCCACGCCCACCAAGCAAACTACTTTTATTATTATGAAATGTTGGAGAATCCCAACATTACAGTCGAGGGAATTCCCTTTCTGCTCACGTGTATCTTCATGCACAGGACATTTAGCGAAATTCATGCATACCGATATTCATTGTCCCAAATACCATTTGAGACCGAAGGCCGAGAAGGAATGAAACAGCAAACTTGCAGGCTCACGCGCCTCTTTGTCTCCGCTCGTCTGGGTTCCACACATTTCATTTCTTTGGGTGTTATTTCTAACCCACATTTTTCCAACTGTGTTTTCCTGTTCTCAGGGCACTAATGTACGAGTCTGGCGGTAACTAACAATGTCATTTGAAACAGCTGCCTTCTCCCGGACATATTTGTTCCAGTTTGTTAGTCTGACAGTTGCAGTTCTTCTCACCTCTTGCTTTGATTGACAGATCCCATGAACTCTGTTTTGATCCTACTCTCCGTTGTTGATTGGCTTTGTGGGCGTGTCAAGTTATGTGCATAAATCAGAGTTTCAGATGGACATTGGTCACCAGTCATAGACCGATAAAATTTCAATTTGACTGATGGTTTGTTTAGGTTGTCGGACTATTGACTGATAGAAGTGCTAAGCAAGGAATCACATGTTTCATAATTAAAAAGTAAGTAGTAAGGATTAGTCCTCCTTACAGTATCAATTACAGTATCTTACAACAAAACAATGCACAGCCATCAAACTTCATAACTGAAACTCTGGGCAGCACATGTCTTTGCATCATACTTTCTGTATCATAGAGAAACGCTTTCAGGAGCTATAGTGACTTAGTGAAGCACTTTACTTTTTGTATATATTCATCCAATCACAAACTGTATTGCATTGATTTGTTGTTATGGTCCATCCGCCATTTTTGTTTATTTGACTTATTGACTTTTGCCATTGACGTATTACATTTCTCTTGAGTCCAAGTCATTGACCTAGATACAGCCTTTTGTGTCAAAATCACTGTAAATTAAACAATCACCTGATTCATGTCACATCCACAGTATGTATTCCTACACCTTGAATGTTTATCAGTCTCGTCAACTGTGTCTGCTTTGATATATACGACTGTTTTTGGTTAAACTATTGTAGATTGTTTGCACATTGATTTTTCGATTCAAACCTCAATGAAAAAAAAATCCACAGTCAATACTTAAATAAAACACATAGAAAAAATACATAATGAACTGAATAAAAAATGATGTCATCCAAATAAGAAACATACATGCCAAAGTGTGACAATTTTAGAGAAAAAGATAACCGACAGATATGCATTATGAGATAAATTAAGAACTTAATTTTGATCAAGGTCAAAATGTAGAAAACCCACAACAAATATGTTTACTACACATAACTAACTAAACAAATACTGAACTAATGCCATGTCATGGTCATAAATTGCTTAGTTTTAATGAGTTCGCAAATGATTGTGTAACAAAATCCCATGGGTATTCGACATGTCAGTATCCACATTGGCTGCACCCCTGGATAGGATATAGGATAAATGTTTCAGTTTCCTGTCATCTCTCTGTAGGATAGGTCTGCAAGATTTTGGCTTCTATTGGGCATGGTGAGATTATTGAAAGTAAGTATAGTGACACCAAATATCTTAGATAAGCTGGACTCATATCCCAGAAGACAAGTTTGTGTCTTTGCATAGAACTTACCTCACTAAAGCTGTATGGCCCCAGTCTTTCCTTGTCTGCATTTCCAAAGTACCACTCCTTCTCACTGTCACGCCTCATGTCAGGCGAGGCCTCGATCACATTACTCTACAAAACATAACACATTATTTTCCAAAGGTTAAACAAATATACATGTTTGTCCACCAACACAACCAACTGAATACCTACAATATACCTACATTAGACTACCTTTAACGCTGCCGTCTTTATGCATCACACACATCAGTGTTTACTCACTACCCTATCTCCAGCTATTTCTCCTTTCTACCCCATTTATTCTTTTGGGAAATGTTGTCGGAAAAAACAGCACAGGGCAAAAATATAAATACCATCAATACCGTTAACTTAGTGCATTGGCACTGTAGCTCACTTGACATGTCAAAATGTCACCAAAGACAGATTTAAAATAAGTTGTAGTCAGCACTGCTATTGAAATATTTTCTTCATACTGAGGTTAAAGAATTAACAAATATAAAACAAGTAACTCAATTTCCACAATCTTCAAGAATGAATGTACTATTGGAGAATATTGTTTCAACACAAAAAAAACTTACATTTACTTTCCATAAAGTTTCAACTCTGTTGCCTAATGTACCTGTTATTACTTTTAAGAAGACTTTCAGATGCAACAAAAACAATTCAATTGTTTCATGAAGACCATATTAAAATCCCAAAATTTTGACAAAAATAGGATGTCATCATAAGGCCAAACATACACGACCAAGTTCAGTTTTCTCAGTCTGGCTTCATTTTGAGAGCATTAAATTACATTTTGTGCAACAACAACAAAACAAGTAGTATGATAAAAATACAAATTTATTAATATTTTAGCAAAAATGGGGGCGGACTCGGTTGCTGCTAATGAGAAAGATGATTTGGAAGAGAGCGCCACAGAGAGGTGTCGGTGTCCTGGGGTCGACATCTTCCCGAGGCAAGAGAGTTAACTGACTATAAAAGTCCCGTTTCCACCCTTGCCGAACTAGGCTGGTATTATGGAGTTACATTTTGTCTGAACTAACGAGTCTATGCATAGTCCAATCAACATCGCACGCCGAAATCGAAATCCGGTTCATAAACTGTAGTGCAGATTTCGGTTGATTGCAGGATTTGCAAAGCATGTGCACCACCAACTCGTTATCAGCAGATATGTTCCAAATCTTTTCGTATTTTTAATCAAGGTGCTCACGTGATTTGATGCATTTCGCGATGTAAGACCCGTTTTATCACAATATAGATCTTGATTATCGATCAGATCGTCCTGACTGGGCGCCGCCATTTTATGTGAAGCAAACGCAAGTGATACGAGAGGTGGAATCTGATTGGTCCATAGGAGAGGCTTAGAGGGGACATAACTGGTAATAGCAACTGGTGGCGCTGCGATCTAGCCCAGTAATTCCAGCCTAGTTCGGCAAGGGTGGAAACTGGACTATTAAAGTCAGTTAACACTCTTGCCTCGGGAAGATGGGGGTCGAAGACCCGGAAAACCTCTGCATTGTGACCTGGGGTGCTCCTGACACGGACTAGGGATATCCGGACCTGGGGTCACAACAACCCGGTCATCCCAGGGATCTTCCGGTCCTGGGGTCACAGCGAACCGGACTTTCCCGTGGTGTGAATGTGGCTGCTCCCTATGAGTTTGGAAGTTTGTAAGAATGAGCAACCGAGAGCCCCCAAGGAATAAAATATAATAGAGAAAAACATGGTAGAAGAAATATATATACAGTATAATAGAACAAGATGTAGGTGAGTAATGGCACGATGAAGCCTTGAGTAAAGGCTGATGGGGCATAGTAATGCAAAATAAATAGTGGTGAATGAAATACTAAAATTACACATGACTAGTAGATTGCTGTAAGTCCTAAAGGAGTATACTAGGGCATATTACACATTGCTAGCTATGTTTGCTTGAAAGCATAGCCTGAAGTACAAATGTACCTATTGAAACAATCAGACGACCAGTGCCCTAAAGTCTTGATGAGATGAAGTTGCAGCTCCTTTACAGGATGAACGCCCTGTAAAGCCTTGCGAATTAAGTCCGGAGCGACGCAATGTAATGGCTTGCCAGGATAAAAAATTTGTCCTATTGACTGGTACAGACTTTAAGTCCACGAATAATGGGGCTGTTGAACTAGCCCCATGTACGTGCCTGATCTTGATAAGCCGTTGCATACAGCGGAAAGGACACACATAAGCTTGTGTGGCAAAGAGTCGAATGTCAACTCCTTTCTGAAATGGATCTGTTTTTGAGGCTTTCAGTCGCAATGTAAAACACTTACGAGTTGTGTCCACAATTATGGCGTTCAAACACAAGTTCGCTTCTGGGTCAAAGGTCTGAGAGCATGTGAACTCTCCACATCTGAAAAAGGCGAAAAAGGCCAGGGCACACATAGTTTCGATCAACAGATCCACATAGGGTCTGAAGAGACCTCTCCTGAGTGTTTAAACAAGCCTGCACAAAATATGGTAGGTAATTGGTAAGCGCTTGGTTTTTGACGGTGGACTTTGCATCTTTTTATATCCCTGAAGGATAGTTTGTAGACGCTAACCATCCAAACTAAACACCGGCTAGCTAACATTTGACAGTTGAATATTGTTGTTTGAGTGTTCCAAATCTGTATGCCACAAAATATTCAAGTAGTGTTTCATTCACTGGCAGAGACCGTATGCTGTAACGCATGGATATGATGACGTTGAAATGCACAAGAAAGTTGACGTAAGCTTGTAGTCCTGTATTGTAGGTTGTCCGTGTCTGACGGCTGATGGATGCTGACCATAGGTGCTGGAGATGAGAATTCACGGCCACATCACTTCTGAGCTTGGGGGGAAGGTGTCGGTCGTAGGTTGGCCAGAGGCGCTAGGGTGTGGAACTTGGTGATCTGGAAACGAGAGAGAGCATTGGCTATAGCGTTTGTTGCACCAGGCACATGAGTAGCAGTCACAATAAAGTTATTAGAAGCAGCTTTCCAAGTCAGCGTACGCATAAGCACCATTATTTGTAAACACTTTGATCTGCCCTTATTGATAATGTGGACAGAGGCAAGATTGTTGCAGCGAAACAAAATTCTCTTCTTGGACCAAGAATGGCCCCACAGCACAGCTGCAATGACTATAGCTGATTTGGATAGTTCGATGAGATAGGATATGAAAGATCTTGCATTTGAAATTACTGAGGAGATTGGCTATACGAGATAGCTTGTCTTCTAGAAGTCGTGCTGTCATTGTTACAGAGTTCAAAATGATACCCAGGTACTCGACTTCTGTAGTCGGTCCCGTTGTTTTATGGGAAGCCACGCCGCTGCGGGATCTAATGTTGGAGAGTCGATTGTGAGGAAATCATCTAGTAGGTGCAGGATGAAGTGGACGTTGTGGTTTGTTTGTAGGAGCCAGCAGATGGTAGACAGTTTGTCGAAGATTACAGGGCTTGATCGGCAACCGAAGGCCAGACGAGTATGAAAATAGTACTTCTCAGGCCACTTGAATCCGAAGAACTGCCAACATCTGGATTGAGAGGAACTTGCTTAAAGGCAACCGAAATGTCAACTTATACACATCCAAGCGCCGATACCTGAAGGTTTGAGTTTGGTGATAGCATGGTCTACTGATACGTTGGTTGACGAGCAAGCCTCTTTATCAATAAGTTCATTGATACTTGGAACATAAGCATTGTCATGGGGGGCCTGATAAATCCAGTATCAGCCTCTTCAATAGCAATACCAAGTGGGCTAACTCGGTAAATTAGGAATGGGGTCTTGGTAAAGGGAACCAAATGTAGAGCAGTATCTGGATCTTTTCTTGCACTGAGATTGTTACCACATTCTTTAACAGTGTCAGGTAGGGGATAGACCATGGGGTCGAATCCATAGGTAAAACCTTGTATAATGTAGTTAACGAAGTTTGTTTCTGGATAATTGACTCATTCAGCAGACAACCTGTCGACCTTCACTGGTGTTAACACAAAACCGTCAGGCACTATACTGGGTAGTCAGTTGCTGAATGAATGGGCTTTCTTGCATTGGGAAAGACTGTGTCGTGCAAAACAATTGAGGCATAGGTGGGAATATTGGCAGTTCTCACGATTGCACCCGGAGTAATTGAAATTATTACACAGTCCTTCATGGCGCACTCTACGGCAACCTCATTTCCACTCTGCATTTTGGGTATGGGTTGCCATGGTTGCTTGGTACTGGGTTTCTCGAGTGCTCGTTGATGTTAGGACACATTTCTGTTTGATGAGAAAGACTGTTACATACACCACAGGCTTTGGCTTTTAATCCAGCTGTACAAATTGTCCAAATGTTTTGATCTCACACACCCAAATCAATAGGTTCGTCAAGCTCAATGTATGCTGCTACTCGTTGAGCGAACATCATGTGATAACTGTAGAAGGCTGGGCCTTCGAACAGTTTAGCCAACTGGATGACATTTCTCTGGTGTCCGTCTAACTGTCTGCGCAGTTTGACATCTCTGCCACAGAAAATGTCGTGATAGATGTCTAAAGCCTCCAGAAATTCCCTCAACGTTAGCTGTCTGGTGAGGCGACTGTCTCCTTTTAGATGGAAGACTTGGCCATTGAATTCGGTTGTATGTGGCCCTACAAATTTCTGATTGGGTAACAACAGTAATGCTAAGTTGACATAAGTACCATCCAGAATTTTCTTTTTGAGAGCTGGAGAAACTGGATGAATGAAGGCTAGAGAATCAGATGGGACCGCCCTCTTGTTTCCAGGTCGTTAAGTGACATGTCCAAGTAACAGGTGGGACATTTTGCCGGGCTGTGTGGTTACTTGCGGCTTGCACAGAAGTCTTGTCTCTTTCTCGGAGGTATTGCCTCAATTCTTGCAATTCATTGTGCAGGTCGGCAACTGTGTGTTGCTGTGATAACATGCATGGCGAGAGATCTAAGCTGTTCTCTTGAGGTGGCACGGTGTTGGAAACGGGAGGGTGCGGCCTGTTAAATAGTTGCAGATCTTCGACATCAGCCCTGGAGCTGGTGACCGCATCTAAAGATGACCCCTGGCTAGGGAGGCGACTGATCTCCCTCTCATCAGAATTGTCGCTGTTTTGTGATGTCATGGTTGCTGTTGGCT